ATAATTTATTTATCTGTAAGTAAACTACAATTTTATTATAATTGTACATTTATCTAGAGAAAAAGCATAAAATCTAATAGGTAGATTCCTGTTATGCATTATTTGAATTTATCTAGTCAATGTGTACAATGTTTGTCATTCATATAAGTACCTATTTTTAATGGTATACAATTTTAAAAAACAGAAGTATACTGATATATTTAATACACAATAATACTCAATATACTTATGATATACCTAATACACAATAATTAATACTCAATTTTTCCTGGTTCAATAATTCGTGTATTTTCTACTATTTTACAAAGATGTTAACACTGAAGACAACCAAGACAAAATGATTGATGGTAAATCAACTGAATCGTGTTCAAGTAGTTCAATAGAGATGCATTCATCTAGTACTCAGGGTTAGTATAATTTTAGACAATCATTTTTATTCGTTAAAATAAAATAGCTACCTGCTTAACTAATAAATACTGATGTTTTTAAAAGTAAGGTACATTAAATAATTTATTATTTGTAAATCAAGTAAGTATCTAACAATTTTTTTTTTTATTACATTTAGAATTAAACTTGAAGTTAGATTATCCGACTGATAGAGGACATTTTAAAGGACTTACAACAGACAGCAAACTTAAACGAAGCATTTTGACTTATGGTCCATGTAGAACATTAATACAGTTTCCATACAGAATTATACATGGCAAAAATAGAAAATTTTCAGTTGACTATTACAATATGAAAACTAAAACTGGTGTTCTAATTCCCCGTATTTGGCTCTGTTACTCTGTTGAATTAGATAAAGTATACTGTGAAACATGCTGGCTTTTTGATGATTACAATCATCGAAATTTTAAGTCAGAATGGATTGAGGGCATTGACGATTGGCAACATTTGTCCCAAAAAATAATTTTTCATGAAATATCAGGTACTCATTTAGATGCAATGCAACTTAGACTTGCATGGACAAATAACTATACTATTGATAAAGAGTTAGAAGTTCAAATTTCTAATGAAGCTAAATATTGGAGAGATGTTTTGGAAAGAATAATAAAAATAATTTTAAGTCTTACTGCTGGTAATTTGGCACTCCGTGGTAATGAAACCAAACAATTTTGCGAGGGAAATTTTCTTAGAACAGTAAAACTATTTGCAGAATTTGACCCACTTTTAAGAACACTTCTTGATAAAAAAGATGGCCATATTAAATATCTTAGTCCAGCTATTCAGAATCAGTTAATTGAAATTTTATGATGTAACTTAAAGAAAATCATTTGTGATGAAATAAAAATGTCTACTTTTTTTTCTATAATTGTTGACTCAACCCAAGATATTACAAAATTAGATCAAGTCAGTATCATAATTCGTTATATTACTATTGATTATACTAAGAATACTGTTTGTATAAAAGTCATTTCTTGGGTTTTATACAATCGATCATCATGGTGCCGAAGACTACACAAATCTCATAATAAATGTCCTATCTCAATTAGGCTTAGATATTTCTAAATGTCGTGGTCAGGGGTATGATGGTGCCAAAGTAATGAGTGGTATTTATAGTGGTGTTCAAAAACGTATTCAAGACATAGTACCAAATGCTCATTTTGTTCATTGTTGTGCCCACAATTTGAACTTAGTAATTTGTGACTCTGCTAAAAGTTCAGACACAGTTAGGCGTTTTTTTATTACTGTACAAGCAGTTTTCAATTTTTTTAGCAGTTCAGCTCATAGATGGGCTTTATTAGCATTAGGAGATGAAAATACCTTAAAAGTTCATAAAACTGTTCTTAAAAAAGTATGCGCTACACGTTGGAAAGCTCGACACCAAGCTATATTTGCATTAAAAGAAAGATTTAATGATGTCTTGATCACATTAACAAAAATTGCTCTTACAACAACAAATGGTGATGAAAGAAATGTTAGCAAAAGTATAAGGTCCAAATTGGATTCTGTAGAATTCATTTTACTTTTATGTTTATGGGAAAGAGTATTGAGAAGTATGCAAGATGTTTCAAAAGTATTACAAAGTGTTGATATAAATATTCAAACTTCTTGTGATCTTCTTGAGCAAGCAATTGGATCATTATCAGAATTGAGACAAAATTACAGTGACATTGTTAATATTGCCAATGATTTGTGTTCTAAATGGGGTATTTCATCTAAATTTCCATCAAAACGCCAACAATTCGCCAAATTACATTTTGACGAAATCGATGGTGACAGAAGATTAAATGTAACAGAAGAAAACTTTAAAATAAAAATATTTTATCCAGTTGTAGATACTGCTTTAGCACAACTAAAAAATAGATTTAAAGGATTAAATGTAATCTCATCGACTTTTGAATTTTTAAATCCAACCTTTCTTATAAGTACTGAAGAAAATGATTTAATAAAATATGCATTTGATTTTATTCAACTGTATAAGTCTGATGTGACTTCAGATTTTACTCGACAGTTACTAAGTATCCAATCCATAATAAAAAATAAATCAGATATCAGAAACATTAATGATGTTATAAAATTTATTGTGAACAATGATTTATCAACAGCTTTTTGTGATGTTCTAACAGCTTGTATAATTTTTTGACAATTCCTGTAACTGTAGCTTCAGCTGAAAGATCTTTTTCCAAACTTAAATTAATAAAAAATTACTTGAGAAATTCTACTTCTCAAGAAAGATTAAGTAATATATCAGTATTAAGTATTGAAAGATGTCGTACTGATGAAATTAATATAAAAAAGATTATTACTGATTTTGCAAATGCAAAAGCTAGGAAAAAAATGTTTTTTTAATACTTAACCATTATAAAATATGTGTATTATTATATATTATTTTTATTTTTATTTCTAGTGTTAAATGAAAATTAAAATTGTTATTTTTTTTGTAACTTATTTATTTTATCTACATTGGTACCTATGTTGTTTATTTTACAAGTTTTTTTATTAATAAAATCTACTCAACATAAAATTGTGATCCTGTATACTTAGGTACTGCATTGAAGCTCTACACAGAATTTTTTCAACGAGAAAGCTATGTATTGTTTCTTTAAAATCCTATACATCCACAAATACTATCCTATCTAAGAAGTAAAAAATTCCCATAGTGTCAGTACGACTTTTATATGTATCTCAAGAAAGAGGGGGGGCCCATGCATTTGTTTGTACCTGGGTCTTTGACTCTCTAGTTACGGCACTGTATACAAATATTTAAATCGTTTGACAATAAATAAAAAATGTACAAATATTGTTATGTACAATCCAGTAAAGACGAAAATAATACAAACATATTATTATTATTTATAAGATTCAATTTTTTTATTGTTGTTACTCATAAACTTATCCATTATTAAATCCTGTAAATTATTAAATGTCATTATTATTGTATTATCTGCTTTATCTTTTTCGTTTAGTATAGTTTTTGAGTTAAACGTAGTTGTTTTCCATCTATTTTAAAAACAAATTAATGGTTGCATGCATATTATAATTGCATAAAATATTTTCATATTATCATACCTATTTAAGGTTTTTATCATACGTAGGTATTTTATAAAATATACTAGATGACACAATTGTGCGTCAGTTAAATATTTTACATACTTACTGTATATTATTAGTATCAACGTCGAATTATCATTATATATTCTCAAAATTGTTTGGTTACCTATTTAAGTTATAAAATAATGCCTTGACTAAGGTATAATATGGTTAACAAATAATTTATAAATATTGTACTTTTTTTATTCATATGAATGATACCTAGAGTAAAACTTATTATACTCGGTCTATACAAAATAAGAAGAGTTACCCGTCTTTTGACTACTTTTTCCAAATCAGAAGTTTAGTATTTTCGAATAACCAAATAATCACTTTGTGTTTTGATTGGTGGTGTTTTTATGCAAAAATGACCCCCATCCGATTTTTTTATGCGTATGCAGTTTTCATTGATCATGGTGGATAAACCGTTATATTCTTGTTCCAGTTTTAAAATTTGTGACTGAAACTAAAAATTAATATTATTTGATAAATATATTATTAAAATATTTAATATTTTACTTTCTGTTTTCTTAGTTTAGCATTTACAACGGGTTCGATTTTTTTAAGATTCTGCATTTGACAATGTTTTCGATGATTATAAAGTTCCTAAATTTATATTATCATTATTTCAATATAATGATGTTTAATTAAAGGAAGCTAAAAAATATTAATGCTATAATAACAATAATAACAATAATAACGGTGAACATACGTCGATTTCTTCATCATCTGAATTTTTATCACTTGCACTGAAAAAAAAACCCCTGGTAACATTGACAATATCGTCTTATTAAACTTGAACAATGCTTACATTTGTCATATAGACAATATTTTGTTAAAATGACAATATGTTTGATGAATTTATAATTATTTAATAAATTTAAATATGCATATTGTCAATAATATGAACAATAAAATAATAAAATAAATAATATATTATCAAAACAATAACATGACTATTATTGATATTATCATTTACGTTGTGGTTTTTTTAAACATTTAATATATATTTATAAGCCGGGATTCCCCAGAATTGACGATATATTGTCGTCGTAACAATACTATTATCATATTTTTGTTATAATATTATCAATAATATAAGATGATTCGTAATTCGTTTCGTTTTCGTATATATTCGATATTGACAATTAACATTTCACGCCAAATAACCGTTGCGAGATCAGTGTATTAATTTATAACAGTTATCTAGTTGTAACCAGTGTCTTAAAAAGGTTAATGTCGTTAATGATTTAAATATATCAGTACATAATTTTGTTGTATCTACCTGACAGTGTATTGTAGCTGTACGCTATACCTATATTGGTAATTTTGTGCTTTTCGAAAATTTTGATGATCACAGTATACGTTTCAACTTTCAAGTAAGTCACATAATTTGTTTATTTCTAATTTTTTTATTAATACTTAATAGTAGGTTCCTATATATTATATTTTTATTTTTATTTAGGCAGTGTTTATTCATTTAACAAATATCTAGTGGGTAGAAGTTTCTTCAAAAGGTTTATGATTAAAATATATAACTTTGCTATATCTACCTGATGGTGTATTGTTGCTAAGCCTAAATTGGTCGTCTTGTGCTTTTCGAATATTTTGATGATCCCAGTACGTTTCAACTTTCAAGTAAGTCACATAATTTGTTTATTTCTAATTTTTTTATTAATACTTAATAGTAGGTACCTATATATTATATTTTTATTTTTATTAGGCAGTGTGTATTCATTTAACAAATATCTAGTGGGTAGAAGTTTCTTCAAAAGGTTTATGATTGAAATACACCACTTTGCTATATCTACCTGACGGTGTATTATTGTAGCTATATATTTTTGTAAGTTTATTTTTAAAAATGCTTTGTTATTTATGTCAATTTAATGCTGATAGTTGGAAATCTTTAGTTTATCATTTTAAAATTTTTCATTTACTTAAAACAGACAGTAATTATACTTGTTGTGAAGGAACTTGTACACAATCTTTTCAATGCTTAGCTTCATTTAAACGACATATTCTACATAAACATTTCCCTGAAAACATCCCATCAAATAATCAATAGAATTTGTTGTAAATTTGCATAATAATAATAATTTTACTAGAGTAGACATTACCAATATTCAAACTAGTATAATAAATAAAATAATTAAGCCAATTGTATCCATGCTGAAGAATGTAGTAGATGATGAAATTAAAGAACCAATTAAGGTTGCTAAATTTCATAGAATTGCTTCTGTTATAGAAAATCCTTTTTTATACTGTAACACTGAGTATCGCTTAGTAAATTGGCTTATAAAGAATGAACTGTTATTTAAAATAAATCAATTTACCATTAATAATGAAATTTGCCCTGTACAATACAATGGTGAATCGGTGTATAATGAAAAAATCACCAAAGGTGTACTCTTACCTTTGCAGTTTCAGTTTAAAAAATTCTTTGAAAATGGAGATAATTTTAAAGAACAGTATACTCGGTTAAATTACTATAAAAACAATCAATGTACTTCTATTGAACATTTTGTTCAAGGAAGCCTTTGGCAACAAAAAGTTTCTCTATTTCCTAATGAAAAGATAATATTTCCATTTTTTTTATACATGGATGAATTTGAAATAAATAATCCTTTAGGCTCACATGCTACATTTCAGTCTATTTCCGCTCTGTATTATAGTTTCCCACTATCAGAAAACAATTCAAAATTATCAACTATATTTTTAGCTGCTCTAGTTAAACACATTGATATTAAATCATTTGGTAATGATAAATGTTTACAAAGTCTAGTTAACGAAAATATTCATTTTATATTAATCATTTCATATTCATTTTGTCCTAGGCATAGTTCTTGGAGATAATTTGGGTCTAAATAGCTTATTAGAATTTAGTAAATCTTTCTCAGCCAATTTTTTTTGTCGCTTTTGTAAAGCTTCTAAAGCATCAACTATAACAATGCTTGAAGAAGACTCGAGTCTTTTGCGCAATGCACACAATTATTCTGATGATGTTGCTAGTATGAATTTTGCAGAGACAGGGGTTTATCAAGAATCATTGTTAAATCAAGTAACTGGGTTCCACGTCACACAAAATTTTTGTATAGATATAATGCACGATTTGTTTGAGGGCGTTTGTCACTATGATTTGTGTAACATAATTAAATATTATATTGTTACTGCTAAATTGTTTTCACTTGAAACTTTAAACAATCGTAAAATGAATTTTAATTATGGACCCATTGAGATAGGTAACATTTCACCTCCCATAAAAATGATTCATTTAGAAAAAAAACATTTAAAAATGTCAGCTAGGGAAGTTATGACATTTGTTCATTTTTTTCCTCTCATGGTAGGAGATCTTATCCCTGAAAATGATGAAGTTTGGAACCTTTTTCTTTTATTAATTCAAATTATAGACATTCTTTTATCTTATACCTTTACTGATAGTGCAATTTCCCATCTTAAACAATTAATTTCTCATCATAATTCTATGTACATAACACTTTTCAATGACACCTTAAAACCGAAACATCACTTTATGATCCACTATCCAACAATAATAACAAATTCAGGCCCTCCTAGACATTATTGGTGTTTTCGTTATGAAGGTAAACATAAAGAATTAAAAATGTATGCAAGGTCAACAACTTCAAGGAAAAACATAACATTAACTTTAGCAAAAAAAATGCAATTAAAATTTGCTCATAGCTTAATGGTATTACCTGATAAAAAAATTATTGTAAATGATAAACATAAAATTCAAAGTAGTTATACAGAAAATATAAATAACAAACTTAATTTGACTGTGTTACAATATGCCTGTTATACTGAATTAATGTTAAATGGAATTGTATACAAAAAAGATTATTTTTTAACAAAAAACTGTGATAAAATATGCTTATTTAAAATATGTGAAATTGTATTAATTAATAAACCAGATAGTAATGTTTATGTTATGGCTAATGAAATAAAGTTAAATCATTTCAATTCTCATTTTGAATCTTTTAGTGTAGATTATAGCGAAGAAGTTGTTAATCGTAATTGTATTTGTAATGTAGATGAATTTAGTGGACCTCCTATAAATATAAGTAAAATGTCATCTGGTCAAAAAATGATCCGTTTAAAAGAGTTTTATTAATTACTAGTACATACATTTATTGAATTTTATTTGGATAGGTATATTATTAATTGTTATTAACTAATTATGCATTTTTTATTTAGGTTTATTTATCATCATGTATAATTTCTAAAATATATGCAACATTAAT